TCTTCTCTCCCCTCCTTCCAAAATTCACAAGAAACTTTTGCGATGTCCCACAGCCTAGCTGTTAATTTTCCTTCGTTGTCCTCGCCAGAAGGGATTTTCTTTTCCGGACTTACAAAAATTTGAAATGTTTTCCGTCCTCCGGGGAGTTCTGTAGCACACGCAAATGTGTCGGAAGACCTCGGAAGTGATTTCCAAAACCGGAAATCTTAGGCATGTAAACAAAATACCTGTTTTTCAGTCCTTCCTTTGGATGGGGTTTGGATTCAGTTAATTCACATTCTAAACATCGAGCTCAAAGAAGAGGTTATACTGTCGGTAAGGCATTAAGGTCGAATTTCTTTGGGAAAGAAACTTGGGTTCGGCCGGAGGCGGCCTTCGATAATCGAGGTCGTATGTTACGAACTTAAGAACTGAAGACTATAATTTTGAATACGCCGTGAAGGGCGTTGTTAAACGAACAACAGACTTCGGCGTCTTTCAAGATTTCGAACTATAATTTCAAAGTTTCAGTCAAAATAATTTGAAATGCAGTTTATTTCTTTTTCTTTCTGATAGAGTGTGTTCAAGTGCTGGAATATGTTTCCACCGTAACTTCGTAAAATTCTGAACCGAATTGACGTGGTTAATCGTACAGGAGTTATTCACTTTTAACAGCCTTGAACATTTCATACCAATTATCATCGAATTCATTTTCTATGTGAAATTCACTAAAAATAACGCCAAATTTAGTTAAATATAACGTCAGGGTAATATTCCATCTTCCCGCAGGGCGTGTTGCATCCGAAATGTTATTCCCTAAAAATAATTGTCCATAATCAGCTGATAAGCTGTTGATATTGTTGTATGGGTGCGAAACATGGTCTCTCACTCAGAGGGAGAAACACAGATTGCAGGTGTTTGAGAATCGGGTGTTGAGGGGGATATTTGGGCCTAAGAGGGAAGACGATGGGGCGTGGAGAAAACTGCATAATGATGAGCTTAAAAATCTGTACTCCTCTCCCAGTATTGTCAGGGTGATTAAGTCGAGAAGAATAAGATGGGCTGGGCATGTAGCGCGCATGGATGGGACAAGAGGTGTGCACCGGGTACTGGTTGGGAAGCCTGAGGGGAAGAGACCGCTGGGGAGACCTAGACGTAGATGGGAGGATAATCTCAGGCGGGATCTATGGGAGATAGGAGTTGAAGGAGACTGGATTTTGTTGGCCCAGGACAGGGTCCGGTGGAGGGCTTTGGTGAATTCGGTGATGAACCTTCGGGTTCCGTAAGCCATCTGGTTGGTTGGGTCCACTATTTGGGAAGCCTGAGAGGAAGAGACCTCTGGGGAGACCTAGACGTAGATGGGAGGATAATCTCAGGCGGGATCTATGGGAGATAGGAGTCGAAGGAGACTGGATTTTGTTGGCCCAGGACAGGGTCCGATGGAGGGCTTTGGTTAGTTCGGTGATGAACCTTCGGGTTCCGTAAGCCATCTGGTTAGTGAGTCATCTAATGAGTATATGTAGCGAATGCTGAAACTACTGAAGAACTTGATGCACACTTATTTGTTTCTTGGTATTCCTTGTACGTTTGTGACAATGTCTAAAGGAACGCATTGAACATGTAAGGTAGGGACATGCAGGCTTGTACCATAAAAGTAATATCTCGGGAGCTATTTCTCAAAACTGAACAGAATAAAGAAATGATAAGTTACGTAAAAGGTCCTTTAAAATAAGAAAAGTTTGGATACGCTAATTACTGTTAATTATCTAATGTATATATGTAGCTAATGCTGAAAGTACTGGAAAACTTGATTAAACCTGGTGTTTATTTTATTCTGTGACAATGTCTAAAGCAATTAATTGACCTTGGGTTGGGAATTAACATTTATATACAAGATGGTTTGTAATATAATGAATTGTTATAAAGACTGAGAAATTAATGTAAAAATTCTGTTGTAGATTTTATAAGTCCAGAGACTTGGTTTGTGAGGCGTTCTTTCCTGAACGTACGTCTGTGGTGCAGTGCAAGAAGATGGCGTTTGAAAAAGGACAAAGGACGACACGTGTCAGCGGAATTTCATCTCCCAACAATACATAGTCGTACTTGACACTGCTAGCTTTGTTGGTCTTTCTGTCCGCACGACCAAACGTCACTAACTGGCCACTCTTTCGTTGAACTGTCTAATCAGACAGGAGACCGATGTGCTTCCGTGTCCTCTGTACGCTCTGTGGGTTTGTTTTTGCATCTGATGTATCAGCGGACGGATAGCAAACAAGCAGGTATTTTTTGTTCTAATTTAAAAGGCAGTGGACCTTCGATCCTATGATAAACAGATTGTCAGTCTCCCTCTATTGCATGCGAATGTAATTTTGAGATCGTTGTGAATGTTGTTTATATACGAATAAGACCCCGAATTATATTTCTGCAATGGGTTTCTGTCACTAAAGAAAGTTTATCCGGTTTTATGGCAGTAAAATCAATTAAATCAGTGGTATTCAACCTTTAAATGTTCGCGTACCCCTGAGATATAATTTCTCTTCAATTTTGTACCAATGACACGAATTTCAGCATTTTTCTTATATAGGGACATCGGTGAACGATTTCTGGATTGATTTTTGTGGTCAGTTTCAAAGTAAACTTGCCCTGTGTTTTTTGATCTCATAAAAAAAGTACAAATTTGGCTTTGAGCTGTTTCCGACTGAAAGGCCCGTGGCTGCAACTGTTTACTCTGTTTGTGCTTTTAAAGCTTCGTCGTTGAGTTATTCCAGCTCAGAAGTGAACGCAATTTAACGTTGCCTCTCTGTGCTTATTCTGATGTGGTAAGCAGGAAAATAGAATTCACCTGAGTGATTCGCCGAAAGCACTTAATTCTTTGAACTAGTGGTAACTATATTTACCGCCAACGTCAGTATTCAGTGATTATGTTTCTTGCCAGCAGAGGGTTTCGTACGATTTTCATAAAAAAAGAGCGATTACTTCACTAAACAGAATTAACAAATTATTTATCTTTGGTGATGGAGACGCGTTATGATCTCTGACGTTAGAAACTGAATTTCGTCTCCTCTATTTCCGGTTTAACGATGTTTATACATTTTCCGGTACCCTTTACGGGTCCCAACTTCCCGTTGGCATGATCTATAGACATTCGGTAGGACTCCTTGGATGAGGGATCGGCCCGTCGCAAGGCCTCTACCTGTACACAGGACAGCATGAAAAACATCCATGGCTTGAGTGGGATTCGAACCCACGGTCCCACCGACAAGGCTCACGCCTCGAAACTGAATTTATAAATAGTATTTAACAATTATTTATTTTAATCCGTCTGATCACAATATTTAAAATTTCTTATAATTAAGATAATAAAATATCATTGATGTTCCATATCGATTGATCGATTTACAATATTTAAAATTTCCTATAATTAAGATAATAAAATATCATTGATGTTCCATATCGATTGATCGATTTACAATATTTAAAATTTCCTATAATTAAGATAATAAAATATCATTGATGTTCCATATCGATTGATCGATTTACAATATTTAAAATTTCCTATAATTAAGATAATAAAATATCATTGATGTTCCATATCGATTGATCGATTTACAATATTTAAAATTTCCTATAATTAAGATAATAAAATATCATTGATGTTCCATATCGATTGATCGATTTACAATATTTAAAATTTCCTATAATTAAGATAATAAAATATCATTGATGTTCCATATCGATTGATCGATTTACAATATTTAAAATTTCCTATAATTAAGATAATAAAATATCATTGATGTTCCATATCGATTGATCGATTTACAATATTTAAAATTTCCTATAATTAAGATAATAAAATATCATTGATGTTCCATATCGATTGATCGATTTACAATATTTAAAATTTCCTATAATTAAGATAATAAAATATCATTGATGTTCCATATCGATTGATCGATTTACAATATTTAAAATTTCCTATAATTAAGATAATAAAATATCATTGATGTTCCATATCGATTGATCGATTTACAATATTTAAAATTTCCTATAATTAAGATAATAAAATATCATTGATGTTCCATATCGATTGATCGATTTACAATATTTAAAATTTCCTATAATTAAGATAATAAAATATCATTGATGTTCCATATCGATTGATCGATTTACAATATTTAAAATTTCCTATAATTAAGATAATAAAATATCATTGATGTTCCATATCGATTGATCGATTTACAATATTTAAAATTTCCTATAATTAAGATAATAAAATATCATTGATGTTGTATTTATTTTTAATTTGTTCTTAAGAGGGTTAAGTGACTATCGCTGTCTTGTGATTGCTCTGTTCACTGACACAAAGAAGTTACAGAATTTGTTTAAATTTATTTCGCCAAATAATATCTATTATATTATTCTTACTTTCATTTCAAATCTAAAACATCTTGACGATGGTGAAGAGTCAATTGAATAAAAATTTACTTGGATATTATCCATCGTCTAGTAATAAAACGTAAAAAACGTAAAACGACGTTTCGGAGATGGGGCTCTATCTCCGTCTTCAGGTTCCTACTCAGTTGGGCCCACTAGATAGAGCTAATCCCTATCTCCGGACCTCCGGAGATAGGGATTAGCTCTATCTAGTGGGCCCAACTGAGTAGGAACCTGAAGACGGAGATAGAGCCCCATCTCCGAAACGTCGTTTTACGTTTTTTACGTTTTATTACTAGACGATGGATAATATCCAAGTAAATTTTTATTCAATTGACTTACTTTCATTTACTTAACCGGATTCTTGTGTCTTTATTAAATTAAATTCATCCTTTGTGGTCGTCCGATCACTCATTTCGCAAGGCCTGTGCCTACATTGGACACCAAAATCATACAAGAACACGAGAAAACATCTTTTATTTGAGTGGGACTCGAACTCATAATTTCAGTGTTCCAGCAGCCTCCGGCTGCTCACCAATTACTTGGCTGTATTCATATTACGTCACAGTTTGGTTCCAAACTTGTCGACCGAAACGACGTCTAAAGAAACTCTCGGATTAGACGTACGAGGTGCGATCGGAAAGTTTCCAGACTGCGCCTATTTAAAAACCCGTACACTTATCTCAGGTATTAAATTCATCCATCACCCTCGAAGTAGTTCCCCTGGGAGTGAACACAACGATCCCAGCGCCGCTGCCAAG